AGAGAGGTTTTTCCATGGACCAGAGGGGGCATGGTTTCACATGCTGCCTGCATCCCATGGATGGGGCTTTGCTTGTTTGCATGGCTTGGTTTCTGGCAAGCTGTGGCCCAGAGCCGGTCCCCAGATTGGGGTTGGGGACCCCTGTGCTAAGAAACTGTCACGCACCAGGGAAATCAGGAGATCCAGGCAGTTCAAATGGATATAAAGATTTTTTTTTTGCAAATTTAAGCTCTCTACAGGAATTTGAATTACTAATGAGCCGAGGTGGCGCAGCAGTTAGAGTGCAGTACTGCAGCCACTTTAGCTGACTGTGTTCAGCAGGTCAGTGGTTCAAATCTCACCGGCTCAAGGTTGACTCAGCCTTCCATCCTTCCGGGGTAGGTAAAATGAGGACCCAGATTATTGGGGGCAATGTAAATATATATATACATTGTTTACTGGTGTACACCGCTTAGAGAGTGCTTGCACTTAAAGCGGTATATAAGTCTCATAAATAAATAAAATAATGGCCCAAGCAAACTGAATTCAAGGTGAGCTGAATTTAGATTTCTCATGGGGCTGAAGGGACTCATGACTGATGACGCCTGTAGTGAATATTGCCCCATTGTTTGGAATATTTAAATATATACAGTATATATTTAAAATGTTCACAGGGTTTCCTAACTGGTACACTTTAAGCTATCCCCTGAATTCTGACTGGTTCAGATCAAAGCAAGTCTACCTTCTTGAGGACAGAGCTACCCTTTTAATATTTTGCCAATTGCTGAGGGCTGTTATATTTAGTTCATTAATTTATTAAATCATCTAAGCTGCCCAATAGTCAAAGCTCTCTGGCAAGTTTACAGCAGAAGACACTGAAAGATAAAAATTGAATTAAAATATATAAAATGAAACCCACTGCATGCAAAAACAAGTGCAAACTAGGTAGAAACAAGGTAATCAGTCAAAAAATAAGGAATTAAAATATAATTCACAAACAGAATGAAACAGTCTGGGCAAACAGAAAAGTCTCAACTAGTGTTGAAATGATGCTAGTGGGGGCACCAGTTGTACTTCTTTGAAGAGAGAATGGGGAGAACAAGATGCCCACCCTCGTTGCTAAGGGAAAGGGCTGCTTCTCCTGATATTCGTTTTTTATAGACTCAGGAACAGGAGGAACGTGTGGCAATGCTGCCACAAGAAGCAGCATAGTCAGAAGATCCCTCCAGAAATCAGCATGTTTCCTTGAGATGTGAATACAAATTGAAGCAGGATAAGAAGATACAGTACTGTAGTTTTGAACTTTGGTGTTGGACAAAACTCCTGAGAATACCGTGCATAAACAAGAAAACAAACAAATGGATCATCAAACAACCCAGTGTCAAGGAATGAGGCATACCTGATTAGCCTCAAATTATCTTACTTTAGGCCAGTGGTTCTCAACCTGTGGGTCGGGACCCCATTTGGGGTCGAACGACCATTTCACGGGGGTCGCCAACCAAGGCTGTCCGCCATTTTTTTCCCCCTTTTCTTTGGCCATGCCCCTGGCACCCGGTGATGTATAAGTGGTTGGGGGTTACCACAATATGGGGAACTGTATTATGGGGTCGCGGCATTAGAAAGGTTGAGAACCACTGCTTTAGGCACATTATGTGAAGACCTAAATGTTTTAACGTTGGGAAAGGTAGAAGGAAAGAGAACAGGATGACCAGCAGCAAAGTAAATGAACTCCGTTACAATGGTGAAGCTGGAAGACTTGAAAAACCAGGCTAGGGACTGATCATCTTGAAGAAAAATGTATTTAAGCCAGGGGTCTTCAAACTTGGCTCTTTTATGACTTGTGGACTTCAACTCCCAGAATTCCTCAGCCAGCCACACTGGCTGAGGAATTGTGGGAGTTGAAGTCCACAAGTAATAAAAAGGCTAAGTTTGAAGACCCCTGATCTAAGCGGTCACTCGGTGTCCAAAGCAACTTGATGGCACATAATCAACCACATCTTGAAAGCACAATTCCTTATTTTCTCAAGAGCACAACTATGACAACTTTGAAAGGGCTGTTCTGGCCAGAAGTCTTTCTGCAGCACACTGGAGTCTGAACAAATTGAGCAATTGACTTTTGAGGGGAGAGATAAACTAAATAAAACCACATATTACAGACCAATAAAACAAGGGATGTTGTTTTTGAAAAATTATCAAGAACTATTAGCCAAGACTCTAAGCACTTCCTTTTCGAATGGGGATACTGAAATCCCTGTCTTTATACCACCTGCAAATTTCAAAAGTGGAAAGACAATATTTATACAGAGGGAATCTGTTCTGATTTGGGAAAGCTATTCAAATATTCGTAGGAAGGGAAAAATACATCTGGTTTGGTCACCATCCTTTGGAGTGTTCTTATGGAAAAATTTTCTAGTGGGAAAATGAGCCCATCCTTTTGGTTCACATGCAGTGGTGAGTTTTCCCTTCCTCACTTGGGAAGTGGCAGATGCTGAGTCATTGTTGTTGTTAATTGAGAAGTTGTGTCCGACCCATCGCGACCCCATCGACAACATTCCTCCAGGCCTTCCTGTTCTCTACCATCTTCTGGAGTCCATTTAAGCTCACACCTACTGCTTCAGTGACTCCATCCAGCCACCTCATTCTGTCTTCCCATTCTTCTATTGCCCTCGATCTTTCCCAGCATTAGGCCCTTCTCCAGTGAGTCCTTCCTTCTCATTAGATGGCCAAAGTATTTGAGTTTCAACTTCAGGATCTGGCCTTCTAAAGAGCAGTTGGGGCTGATCTCTTCTAGGACTGATCGGTTTGTACGATGCTGAGTCATAGAGCCAAATTAATTCAGTCCTGAAACGTTATCATCCAGGTGTCAAATGGACTTTAATGGTTGATACCAAAATTAATTAGAATTAGTTAGAATTGATTTTAAAAAAAATGAAACAAATTACTAAAAGGCAGATGTTTAATGCAAACTTGGAATTATAATATGAAGCGATAAGCCTGAAGGTGGAAACATTAAATATACACACACTTTAATAGCAGCTTGCCATCTGTTTTCTGCACGAAACTTTTCTATCTCCAACTTCTCCAAGGAGACTATCTGTATATGTAAGTTTTGCATTAACATGGTAGAAAGAAATTGCAGTACAGGCAGTCATCCACTTACGATCACAACTGAACCCAAAATTTATGTGGCTATGTGAGACAATTGTTAAGTAAATTTTGCCCCATTTTAAGGTCTTTCTTGTCACAGTTGTTAAGTGAATCACTGTAGTTATTTAGTAATACAATTGTTAAGTGAATCTGGCTTCCCCATTGACTTTGCTTGTCACATGACCCAGGAACACTGCAACCTTCATAAATATGAGCCAGTTGTCAATGCCTGAATTTGGATCACCTGACCATGCAACAGTCATAAGTGTAAAAAATGTTCGTTAAGTCATTGTTTTTAGTGCTCTTGTAACTTTGAACAATCACTAAATGAACTGTTGTAAGCCGAGGACTACCTGTAATTTGCATGGAAAGGATGGAATTATGTGCCCCTTCAGACCGCAGGGAGAAAAAAAAATGCATGCACGCTTATTATTTTGCACTTGTTTGCTCAAAAGAAAAAGTGTAATAGGTATGTCTGTCTGGGAGAACTCCAAAAAAGTTGATCACTGTTTTGACTTATTTATTTTTATCTCACCTTTATTATTTTTATAAATAACTCAAGGGGATGAATGTATCTAATACTCTTTTCTCCTCCTCTTTTCCCCACAACAACCCTATGAGTGGGTTACGCCGATAGAGAGGGACTGGCTGCAGGTCACCCAGCTGACTTTCATGCATTCCTGAAAAACCCACAATTCTTGATTTTTGTAATTGATCCCAAATCCTGGGGACAGAGCCAATTAGAAACACAGACATTTTAAATTACAGTGATGGGTCCAGAGTCACGTTTGAGAGCCATTTCACAACTGTGACCAAAATGGTTGTAAAATTGGGGGCAACTCACTTAACAACTGCCTTGCTTAACAACAGAAACTGGGGTCCCAATTGTGGTTTTAAGTCTAGGACTACCTGTATGGAAAAGAATACAGGTAATCCTCGACTTATCGGTTCATTTAGTGACTGGTTGAACTTATAACAGCACCGAGGAACTTTTGACAGTTTTTTACACAACCGTTGCAGCCTCCCCATAGTTAAGTGATCGAAATTCGGGTGCTTGGCAACCGGTTCATATTTATGATGGTCGCAGTGTCCTGGGGTCATTTGGATCACCTTTTTGTGACCTTCTGACAAGCAAAGTCAATAGGGGAAGCCAGATTCACTTAACAACAGTGTTATTAACAACTGCAGTGATTCACTTAACAACTGTGGCAAGAAAGATTGTAAAATGTGGCAAAACTCACTTTAACAAATGTCTGGCTGGGCAACAGAAATTAAGTCGAGGACTACCCTTACTAAAGACTGCCTGCACAGTCAACCAGCTGTTTCTTTATAGCCCAGTGATCTGCAGATACCCAACCTGAGGCAAAGGCCATCTTCTATTGAGAAACAACTGCAGCTGGATCCAGGGCCTGTGATCGCCCGGGCATCGGCTGGCTCGAAGACGGGGTGGATCCAGCCCCTTGGCCTTCCCGGGCAGCGAAAGCAGAGAAGGAAGCTAGGTCCCTTATTCTGATGGAAAGCTTCATTTGCATTTACCAATGATTGACGGAGATTACTGGAAAAAAGCCGAGCCCCCGGGGATTACTCCTGATTGAGCCTCCCCACGCCACCAGCTGCCCGAGGATTTCCGAAGGAAAGCCCCCCCTCCCCCCCCCGCTCGCTCGCTCGCTCGCTCCGGACTCTCCCTCTCCACCGCTGGCGCATTGACCACGTGCGCTCTGCAACGCGTCATTCTCCCTATGTAAACAAGGGGGCGGCGCTATGCTAATCAAGATCCCGCTCTTTCTCGAAAGTAATCGGGACTCCCAGCTCGGGACTCCTCTGGGGATCTGGCGGGTGATTAATAAACTTCCTCCCAATAAATCACTCGTCTCTCTCTCTCGCTCTCTCTCTCTCTCCTTTCCTCGCTTTTAGCGCGCAGTACAGAGAAAAGAGACGGAGGCTACCGGGCTCCCTGCCAGGAAGGGCGCGTCGGGTCCCGTCCCGTCCCTCAGATCCTGCGGGGAGCCGCAAATCCTCCGCTTTGCCAAGCCGCGCTCGGATTGACTGAAGAAAAAAATCCCGGCGGCGAAGCAATGCAGCAAACGGCGCTCCTGCGGCCGGGGCTGGCGGCGAGGACGCGCTTCGCTCGCCCGCTCTAAGCGCCCCCCTCGGGCTTGCGATGCCAGCCCGGGCGACCCACGTGCTATTGAGAGCCCCGGCCGGCTCGGAGCGTCGGTTCTTCGTCTCTCTGCGTTTTCGGCCCGGCTTTGAGCTGATCGCTTTTCCCTGCCGGGGCCGGAGGCGATCGCCGTTGAGTTCTCGCAGAGATCGGCTGCCTCGCCTTCCGCAAAGCGGGACTTATGGCAACAGCGAGCGACGTGCTTGGCGCGGTCGTCCCGAGATGGTCGCAGAGTTACCGGCTCATCGGAGGTCGAGATTGCGAATCTGACAACGCCGGGAGTCGGGGAGCCTCTGGGAGGTAGACCTTATTTTGCAAGGTCACCGGAGAAGAGAAGGAGAGAGGGACGCCTGCCCTCGCCGGACTTGGGGCCGGTTGCAGTGCTTTGCAGCCGGAGAGGGACTCCGACCGCGGCATCCTAACGCGGGAGGGCTCCAGATCCGCAGCAATCAAGGTACAGCCGGCGGAAAGTTGTGCGCCTCTGCAGCGCCTGTAACGCCGCAGCCAGGAAGGACGGCGACTCTGAGCGGGCGAGCTTCTCCCAGGACCCCAGGCTAGGAAATCCCTTGCGTGCCCCCCCCCCCAGGGTGCAGCCTCGAGGGGTTGGCCAGCCCGAGTGGGGAGTGGGAGGGAGGCGTCCTGCCAATCTCGGGAAGGAGCGCGGCCCCCGCTTCCTAGACAGAAAAGGGGAGGGGATGAAGGCGGCGATGGCTCTGGGACCGCCACGGAAGAGCGGGTGTCCTTTTCCCGCGTGGCGCGGCGCGGCTCCCCGTGAGACCAAGGCGGCGGCGCCGCGTACCCCGCGCCCGAAGGTGCTTTGAACGGTCGTCCCGCATGAACGGGAGTGGACGAGACGCTGCCCGAGGGACAAAAAGTTTGGTCGAGCCTGCCGGCTCTTTTTAAAGCGAGCCGCCCGTAAGAAGTTCCCGGATCCCTTCCCCGGATCCGCCCTTGGACTCGGAGCCGAGACACGCCAGCCCGATCATGCCCGTGGGGGAGCCCGATGACGCCGCGCCTCTGGCCTTGCAGAGTTACCGCTACTCTTGAAGCGACCCCGGGCTGCGAGCGGCATGGAAGGGCGGCGGAGCAGCGGCCGAGCGCTGCGGAGGCGGCTTTGAAAGTTGGGCGCGCCGTCACTTCTCGGCCGCCCGCGCCCCCGAGAGGAGCGCCTGAGCGGGAAGGGAGGGGAGGGGATCGGCGGGCGAGGAGGCCTCGTCTGCCGCTGCCGAAGATGGGAGACGGATTGCCGGAGCCGGCCCGCGCCGCCAAGCCTTCCCCCGCCGTGGCCGCCTGCTCCGAGGCAGAAGCCATCGAGGTCCTGGAGAGCGCGGAGGAGGGCTTTCCCGGCGCTGCAGAGGACGTAAGTTTCGATGGGGGTCGCTCGCCCCTCCGTTGGACGTCCAGCTCTTTAAAAGTAAACCTTGGCACCCCAGAGAGGGAAGTTGGATTGGATTGGATTTTTCTAGCAAGAGAAAGTCGGGAGATCCTTCCGGGAATCTTGGTGGCTTTCCTGCGGCAGGTTGCCGGGAAGTAGCCTGGCTGAATTCAGCAGTCGGAAAGTGTGCACAGGACCCGAGTTTTTTTTAGCCGGGGTGGGGAAGAGGGATTTCTCCCCCTCTCCCTTTTAATCTCTGGGACACTGAATAATAAATATAATGGCCGATGGTGTTTCCCCTCTGTCGTTTATTTAACCCAGTGTTTCCCAAACTTGACAATTTTAAGGCATGTGGACTTCAACTCCCAGAATTCCACAGCCAGCGTTGCTGGCTGTGGAATTCTGGGAGTTGAAGTCCACGCCTTAAAATTGTCAAGTTTGGGAAAAACTGATTTAAGCGATTTCAACTTTCCCAACTGGTGCTTCTGAATATGTCGAACAGCACAGCAGCCGTCCTGGGGAACTTGAAGTTGAAGTCCTTTACAACTGGAGGCACCAGGTTTAGGAAAGGCTAGTAAAAAAAAAAAAAAAACACGATGCATTTCTAAAGGCTTAAGGCGCACTTTTTATTGAATGTATCTTTTCACAGGCTTCTCAAATGCTTGTTACTAACGCCAGCCTAAAATAGCCAGTGTTTCTCAAACCAGGCAACTTCCAGATGTGTGGTCTTCCAGAGCTCCTCTGTCAACATGGCCACTGCTGGAAATTCATTCATTGGGAAATACCCGTCTGGGACATAGATGCACATACATGTCCAAGAGTGGGCTGTTATTGCCCTGCGTCTCAGCAGCTGAGTTAGAATTGAAGGAGCAGCTGCAATAAAAAAGAAAAAGAATGTCAACACATCTAATATACCTGACCATTTTGGCCCCACGCATGGCTCCTACTGAGCTGCCCAACATGCTAGATGATCTTTGCCCAGTGGCCCCAGCCCATCTCTCAGGCTCACCTACTTGCCTTGCAGAGTTGCTTTGAGGACCAAACGCGTTCCTTAAATTGCTTGATTAGAGAGATTTGCAAGAAAAACAGAATGATGGTTGGGTTCATTCCTCATGAAAATCCATAATTTGGTTTGCTTCTGGAGTGACCTGATATGTGAACCCAACCATAATGGCTTATTCAATAAAGCAGGGTTAAAACAAACAGGGTTAATGTCATGTGTAAAGCCTGCTAAATCAGTGTTTAAATGTTCTAAGACTATTGTTGCTTCCTACTTCAGTGCTGGATAATTGCTTCAAGTTTATCAGGCATTGCCACTCTGCCCCTCTGGCTGAATGACTGCTTCCTGTTGCACATTGCATCAACGTTCTTTCCTTACTTTGGTTGATGACATGAAAACATTAATATGTCACATGATTCAGTATAATTTGGAAAGTCGTCTGGAGTAAGTCCTGAATTCTTTAGAGCACTGGTTCTCAACCTTTTCTTCACCGTGGGCTCCCTTTAAATATATTTTGTGGCCACAGACCGTGGCCATGGAACCCCAAGACTTAAGATTTAAATCGTAACTTTTTTTTCAAGCCTTCGTGGATCCCCTGTGATGACATTGCATCCTCCCCAAGTGTCTGCGAACCACAGGTTGAGAACCACTGCTTTAGAGAATTCTCAGTATAATTGTATTGATTTCACTGCAAGTCATAAGTGCAAGCCACTATGCCGTGTGCAGTGACATCATGACACAAACCTCACTCTTTCATATTTGTGTTCCGATATCAATATAGAAATGAAGGGGTTTGTGTCGTGATGTGTGCTTTATCACTTCTCTCCCTCGATCCGAATGCCTAAGCTAGAGATTATTACTCTCATCTCATCTCTGCCAGTTTATTTACTACTTAGTTAATGTTAACGTTCCTTAAAAGAAATGGCTTCTAGAATTTTTGGAAACTTCTTGACAAAACTACATTTATCTGTTTAGAATGTGTCCGTGTGCATGTTCATTTTCATTAACTGTGACATTGTGCATTAAATGTGAACTTCCAATCTTATTAAGCAGCCTAACTTAGTTTTAAGCTTTAATCTCTAAAGATTCTTAAACAGAGAACTTTATTATTTAACCAAGTGCAGCATCCTTGTTTGTGGATGCATCTCCCTTCATCTCCGCAACTGTGTTCTGGAAGATTTACAGATGTCCCGCCATGTTCTTAACCCATTGTTGTAGCAAGATGAATTGCTAAGAGGTCCCGGGGATAGACCGCACATAAATTTAAGCATCTGTACAATGAATTGCCTCATTCCCAGGAATAATTCTGTGGATGCTCATTCTGGCGGGATTCTAAAAGAAGACCTTTCTTCTCTGTACTATGTATTTCTGAAAACTGACCAGTAGAAAAAACAAGCCAAATATTTATACCTTTAGTGATTCCATTCTGCTTCTTCATGGGGGAATCCGTGTGAACCTTCCTCATATTTGTCTCATGTGTGGGATGTGAAAAACTCTCCTAACTCCTCAACAAATTCTTATAAATTTTAGAAAATGGGCTGCATCAGAAGATTCAAGGAAGTTTATACTATCTGAATGGTGCACCACTAGAGTTCTTTAGAACTGCTCTTTTTTTTTCTCCCTGGCAATGTGCAGCAGGTCTGACATGGGCTATAGGGCAGGGCTGTGAAGTCTGTGAACTCTAAAGCCTCACACAGTTCCCAAACCTGTTTTCTGTAGATTTCAGAGTCTTATAGAAAAATTAACAGGATTGTCAGAAGTCAGCAATCTAGTAGCTTGGAAGCGATAGTCTTAAGGCTAAAATGGCTTGGCATAATTAAAAAAAAAATAACAACTAACCAAAGATCCTCCCCTCCAAGCTGAAAGAAAAACATTTGGAAAATCTCAGACCTCCTGTGCATATTATATTAGCTGACCATTTTGCATTAGCCCCCCCCCCATCTCAGTGGCTGGGTTCACGAATGCTCCTCAGGTGCACTAAGCAGGAAAAGTGGGTGTTCGGTTTAACAGACATTGTAATCCAGATATTTGGAGGGCATCTCAGGAAAAACAATTTTAGGGACTGGAGTTTATCCTGAAGCTCCAAGAGGCCTCTTTGCAAACTAAAATCTCCCTGCTATTATCTGAAGTGGGGGGGGAGGGGAGAGGTCAGCTGAGAAAATAATATGAAATATTGTTTTTGGATAGAAGGCCTGTAAGCCATGGTTCAAGTCCAGGTCTCTGTGCTAAGTGAGTATGTCTCTGTGCACTGTACCTCATCCCTTGTTCATGAATGAAGCCAACTTGGCACATTAAACCAAACATTATCCAAAAGTTTAGAAGGTGTTTTGCTTGAGAGATGTTTTTGCAGTTCAAGAAATGTAGTTATGTCCTGTACGTGTGAAAAGATATCTACACCATAAAGACAGTTTCCAACAGCCTTTTCTGATTTTGGGGCCTGAATGCTGATTGAGAAGTTACGGGAATTGGCATTCTAGTCCATTAACACTTTTATTGGAGAAGACCAGGCTGTGGCGTAATCTTCAGGCAAACCTACTAGAAGCAGTTTACTTTTAGGCTTGTATAACTGGTTTGATTGTTTCATGGAAGCAATTTCAGATTATGGTGTCCTCAAAGGGATGCTGGAGTTTCTTTGTGAATAGACTGCAGCAACTTCACAAGTTGCTAGGATTCCACAGATTGGAGTCATGGCAGGTTAGAAATGGGCTGAGGTGGGCAGGACACAGGTGCAAGGGAATTCTCATAGGGTGCCAGGTAAAAACCAACAGAGAAATGAATATTCATGGATGTTGCTGATGTAGGGTGAAAAAGCACTCCACCAGGTATAAACTATGTTCAGATGGAATCTGTTGGGCTTGGTTTGTTATCTTGGAGAAGCAACAGGGTCCTTCATCTTTGAAATCCTGGCTGATGGAACTTTGGAATTCCAGAGCCAAGTCTCACTTCCCAGCCTATTTGAAAAAAACATGAAACTTAGGAATCCATTACAGATTATGGTATGTATGGGAATCACCTGCATGACGACTCTCTGAACTGCCAGTTTATTCATTCAGGATTGATATTTTTAGCAGTCATATCAGAAATACCCCTCCTAGCCAAATCTCAACTATGACCCTCTCCCCTGGGAGATTTCCACCTGGCGTTCTCTAATCCAATAGACTAGAGTGAGAATAGCTTGATCCTACAACAGACATCTTGAGTGACGACAATTGTGTAGGCATTCAGCATCTATCCATTGAAGGAAGTAGTTGCTGTATTTTGCTGGCATTTTAAGTTAACCTCTGCCCAAGTGGCAGACAGAAAATCCATACGCTGTTTCTTACCTTCTTCCTATCCATGCATCTCATTACTTCCTGCATTATAGAACCCGAGAGGGGGAAGGAACCAAGGTTCATCCACTCCAACCAGCGGTCCACAGCCACAGTTGCCAAGTCATCAGCCCCCTGCAGATCAGCCTTTCCTGACCAGAACACAGGGTGACCCAAGCAAAGGGCAGAAGCATGGCAGAAAGGTAGGTGCAGATGCAGTAGATGGAGCTTAGTGTGAAAAAGCCCTGTCTCCAGAGCTGGGTGAGGGTGGGGGTTGTTTTTTTTTTTTTGACTCACTGGAATCAAAAATGGCAAATGGAAAACACAATTATATGGGCATTGGGAATCATGGGGAAGGCTGGGCAAAAGGGCTGTAACAAGCTGAGTTAAACTACTGTACAATACTCTGGGCCTGGTTCTGTTTACACTGCAACGTAAGGCAGGTTCATATAGGGAAAAGAAAGGTAAGTGTACCGGCCCCAAGTGAATGTGACAATGATGCATAGCAATTACTGAACACTTCCTGTGGAGATATATTCATCTGTGGTCCCAGGGTGATTGGATTACACTCACGTTCAGCATTTTTCAGGGACAGGACATCGCACAATCTCATTGAAACCCCCTCTATTTGTTTCTCATGCAATTTTAGCCCCCAAGATCTTATACTGAGCCATGATGGCGCAGTGGTTAGAATGCAGTATTGCAGGCAAAAAACTCTGCCCACAGCCTGGAGTTCGATCCTGACTGGCTCAAGGTTGACTCACCCTTCCATCCTTCTGAGGTTGGTTAAAAAGAGGACCCGGGTTTGTTGGGGGCGATAGGCTGACATCGTAAACCTCCCAGAGAGTGCTGTAAAGCATTATGAACTGATATGTAAGACTAAGTGCTATTGCTATACAATGATTGTATTGGCATGACTCATATCCCATAGCTAAATGTCTGTGAGGGAGATGGGGGATTTAAAAAATTAAATAAACAAATTGTGGGCTGATCCTGGCGCTTCTGCTGAGCTCAGAAGAAGCGCCGATTAGCTGGAATGTTGCAGCATCTCCGGGGTCTTGTGATTTACATTCAGATGCTTGGCAACTGATTCATATTTATGATGGTCACAGTGTCCCAGGGTCATGTGACGTGACCAAAACCTGCTGCAACCACCCAGCAGACGGGGGGGGGGGGAAGGAATAACTCAGGAAGCATCAAGGACCCCACAGTTCAACCCTGAGCGATGCATAATCTCTCCTATCAATACATGAATTGCCCTTCATTCAGCTAACCCCGTTTTCAGGGTTTGGACAACACACTGAACCAGATATTAACTTAGTTGGGTGTGCGCGACCTCTGTGCTAAAGTTTGTGGCTAACAGCGTTGTGTGAACACAGTCTTAAATAAGAACCCTGTCATCCCATATGGGATGCTGAATATCTAGCATCTCCCGTAGCTAGATATTGAAACATAAACAGCTAAATAAGCTTGAGAATTAGGGGTGAGTACATGGAAGGTAGGTTCAAAGATGGATTAAGATAGCTCTTCTGAAGTTGATAGGATTTACTCCTAAGTACACGTCTGTAGGAGTAAATCTCCTAGATTTCTGCTGCTCTTGCTGGCACTTTTATTGATTGGTATTTTTATTTATAGAAAAAATTTCTTCCTGCACTTCTAGTGTGGGTACATCACTCAAAGTGGCTGAGTCTGTGCAGGCAAAAGAATCCGCAAGTTGCCCATAGGATGGAAGGATTATAACCATAATCACATCGCAGGTTAACGTTTCAGAAAGATTGGAGATTACTTCACTGACAGGAAAAAGGGCCACAAAACATGGATGAGATGCCATCTTATTGCCTTGCAATTTCTTCCATTTTTCTTCCCCTGTGGAAGCAGCTTCTGGATTTTTTTTTTCCCTCCCATCCTCAGGGAGCTTGAGAACAACTTTTAAAATGTCTCTTGATGTTTCTGAGCTCGCTTTTTTTTTTTTTTTTTTTGACTGAGCTGCTACAGGTGGCTACTGCTAAACCCCTTTTGAAGGCTTCTTGGCTACTTCGTATCTCCTGAAGAATCTGCTTTCAATCGCTTTCCTGGGATCTTATTGAAATCTAGGAAGGCTGCTGCCTGCCAGAGAGATGGCTGTACGGTTATACACTGTCTCAAAGGTGCTTTTTTCAAAAGACAACTGGACTTTGTTTTTCCTTGAAGCTTCTTCAGTTGGAGGATGGAAGGATTTATCCACCGTTCAGTCAGAACTGAAAAAAAAAAACAACTTCGTGGGTGAGAAGGGAAAGGTCTTCAAGGAGAAACAAAGTCCAGTTACCTTTTGAAAAAAACACCTTGACTCTACAGCCATCTCCAGCCTTCCTGGCTTCCTAGATTTCAATTAGTGGCTTTTTGAAAAAAGCACCTTTGGGACAACCATGATCTGGATGACTGAGAATCTTCATAGACATTTATTCATACACTGTTAGTCCACCTTGTAACTAAATAAACTGCAAGGAAGCGGCATCCCACCCCTCGCAGTGTTTCTCAACCTTGACAATTTTAAGGCATGTGGACTTCAACTCCCAGAATTCCACAGCCAGCATTGCTGGCTGTGGAATTCTGGGAGTTGAAGTCCACATGCCTTAAAATTGTCAAGGTTGAGAAACACTGCAGGCTCAGAGACTGTGCAAATTATCTTCACCTTTAAAAAAGTATTGAAAGCAAGTTCTCTTTCATCAAATTAAGTAAGATCTGATAGAAAATACAGAGGACAATTATTTGCATTTAATGGCTTAAGCCTCTAGTTGAGTGAGCAAAATAAGTGGTTTAGATCCCTGCAGTGGTTCAGGGAGTTTTACTTGCCCTATTGCTCTGCTTAGCTAAAATTGTCATTTAGAGAACAGCAACATAGAGCATTTAAAAATAAGGTATGAAAGACCCCAAAGCCCAGCGGTGCTTTCAAATTTTTCAAGACACACAGTGCATCTTGGAGAGCAAGAAGCCCATAGTCTCCTTTCAAAGGCTTATATTAGCTAAAAAAAGGAAGGTTTGGGTGATGGTTTAATTTTTTTCCCCTGCCTGGCTCCGCAAGAATGAGATCCATGTTGGCTCAGGATTCAGATTTCCTGGGAATATAGTGATTATGGAAGGATTTTCTACACGGTCCCAGTGGAAGTATCAGATTCCTTAAGTCTTGTACCCATCTTTAATATTTAAAGATATTTGACTTGCTGGATTTCTTTCCCAGGGAGTAATCATAAGCCTGGTATTATTACCTGGGAAAGCTGTGTTTAACAATACATGTAATTAGAGAGAAGAAGCTGCATTTAATATTACACAAGAGACCGGAACAAGCCTTTCAGAAGCAACCCAGCTTTTAACCCTCCCTAATTATAGCTCCTTGAATGTCTAGCATTTAAAGTGTCTCCAATTTTGTTTTGTTTTTTTTTAATTCCATCTTGCAATCACTTGGCTAGCCTCGGTGGGTATGTTCCTTTTCCGTTGCAAAGGAGTTAAAAGCATGTTAGATTGTAGGATGAAATCTGCAACAACTTCATTGCTAGAGCTGATAAATGACTAAGGGGAAAAAAAAAAGAGCTCTTGGAATTTTTGACAGGTCCTTGCTGGCCAAAATCATCCAGTGAAGGTATATAGATTGCCTTCCACTGAAGTCTGTCAAAGGCCCAGCCATAGAGGCTGCTTGACCCAAGGGCAGCCGGATTCTGTGGGACAGATCCAGAGGATGTTCTGTCAGTAGAAGCATCTTTTGATTAGCATTCTGTTCCAGTCTTTTTTTCCTGGCAAGAAGAAGAGATGGCAACATGGTTTTGCACGTGTTTCCCCCCCTGCCTCTTTCCTAACATCTTCCGATGAGGAACAGAGTCCCTTTTCCATCAGAAGGATTTCACTGCGGAATCAAAATCTTTTCAGGATTAGAAAGTTCGATCGATGGGGAATACATTTTGGATGCAAATGAACCTTGCCCTCTTTCCTGTGAGTGTCCCGATGTGAGTTCCAGGGTGGAGATTCAGTGGGCTGCAGCAGGACAACCTTGGGATGTGTGAAACAGTAAAGAAGAAAAAAACACTAGAACAGAGCAAGCATGGCAGCACTTTTTGCTAGGTAGTGACAGATCCTTTTTCTCACTTGGAACTCGTGCTTGCAAACTCGTGGTCTGTCACATCTGTAAAAGTGAGTTTGCCCTCCAGGAGTTCCATTGGTCTTTTGCATTGGAGCACTGGATGATAGTTAAATTGGGGGGGGGGGAACCATGTGCTCTGCCATCATCAAGCAGCAGGTCCTTTCTCACTTGCTCCTTTCGTACTGTATTTGCAAGCATGGCTCATGTGAATACAGGTTCTGACTTTCCCAGAGCCTAAGAATGATGAACTCATTTATTCTATTATAGTCAGCAATCAGATCTTGCCAGAGGACATTAGGTCCATTATTGTTTATCCATTATTGATAAACATCTGACCTTCTGTTACTCTTCAGACAACCAGTTTGCATGAGCAACGGAGCTCAGCAGGAATTAAGTCCCACAAGGATTCGATATGAACTTATTTCAGCTTCTGATTTGGGTCAGTGTGTGGGTGTGACTCGCCCGTCTCTCTGCTTACTTGACAAGACACACCAGCGAAGCTTTTGGCAGGCTGATGCTCTCTGCGTGTATTGGAAATACGTGTATTGGAAGAAAAGGGGCCAAGTCTTTGCTAAATGATTTAATACCTGGCTGGTAGATTCCACATGGCAGCCAGGATTAGCATCCATATATTTTATTGAAAAGTCACAGATTTCTTGCACTTGCAGTTGGGACCTGCTGCCATGCCCGTTAAATGTTGACAGTCTTCCCTCAAATTGTGTTTAGTTTACAAGTTGGGAGGTTATAAGTTTAGTTTATAAATTGGGAGAGCCAGTCTGGTCTAGTGGTTAAAGCACCAGGCTAAAAACCAGGAGACCATGAGTTCTAGTACTACTTGAGGCATGAAAGTAAGCTGGGTGAATTTGGACCAGTCGCTGTGTCTCAGCCCGCCCCACCCCACAAGGCTGTTTTTGTGGGAAAAATAGGAGGAGGAAGCAGTATTAGGCCTGATTGATGCCTTGAGTTATTTATAAAAAATAATAAAGGCAGAATAAAAATAAGTAACTTGCATTTGGCTCTTTATCAGTTTGTATCAATGAGCCAGATTTTAATAGCAAAAGCAAATGGAAACTGGGTAATATCAGAGTAGCAAGCTGTCCCCATCAAAATATTTCTTCTGCAAAATTGTGACTGCTGCAGGAAGCTTCCCCTCCCTCCGTTCATTCTAGAAGGGAATGATGGACGTGTGAGTGGAATTATATTAAACAGGGCCTCAGTTTGAAGGTTGGTATTGAAGATAGTAAAGATAATGATGTATGTTGACAGCATTAAAGTACCCTCCAAAGTTGTGAGGACCAAATTTCCTCAGAATTTCAAGAGAATGCAGGACAAAATAGAGGATTTTGGAAGCTGGGTCAACAGTAACTGAAGGATGCTATGGTGAGAGATTGAGATAGATAGATAAATAGATAGATAGATAGATAGATAGATAGATAGATAGATAGATAGATAGAAGCATGAAGCCGAAAACACCAGCTTGAAGATGACGAATGGGACTTCGTCGTAACGTCGCCAAGACGCTTCCAATTTTACACGGGAGAAAACCCGAATAACCAAAGACCTACATAGATAGATAGATAGATAGATAGATAGATAGATAGGGAGGGAGAGAGAGAGAGAGAGAGAGAAAGAGAAAGAGAGAGAATGTTGAAGAACTGATGCAGTTTATCAAAGTGGTATCCAATTGTATTAATGCTTATGAAATACAGGTAGTCCTTGCCTTATGAATGTAATTGAGCCTGGATTTAGAGTCATAGGTCATGGCAGTCATTAAGTGGGTCACCACATGACTGTGCCGAATTTTATAACCTTTTCTGTTGCAGTCATTAAATGAACCCCTTTTCTTCAATCCATGTGCCAGAAACTGGAAGCAAACGCCAGAAACCAACCAAAATTATGGTTATGTGACCGTGGGGTGCTGCAAACGGCCATAAATGCAAGCCAGTTGCCAAGCATCCAAAATGGTATCACGTGACCGTGGGGAGGGGAATTGCAGCTTTGAAATCAGGTTATAAGTAGTTCTGGGGAGGTCCATCGTAGCTTTGAACAGTTGCTAAGCAAAGACTGCCTGTTATCATTGAAGGTTTTGGGTAAGCCAAAACCAGCCCTATATCTGGGGATTTTCACCAAAGACAATATGGCCTTATGGACATGTACTAAAAGTGATGGTGACAGTAATGCTAGCAGCACATGCCCTACCACTTCTGGCGGACAGGAAAATTTTTCAATACAGGCTGAGCTGTAATATTGCTACCTTGATCTGGCAGCTTCTTGGAGGCACATTAAAGAGAATTGAGAGTGAATGGTAAATCATCGAGAAGATTTACAGCGACAAGTGGAAATTTTATATAATTGAATGTTCACTTAGGGAAGAACTTGATCGTTGTGAATGTGTAAACTCTGGATTCTCCAACAGCTTTTTGAAGCAGGCCAACCACGCCTAGCAGATTTGACTGGCAGATGTTGTACGATCTTCTTAGTGTGGAATCTGCTGGCCTTTCTCATTGGTGATGCAAGTTCTTATTCCTATTCCTCTTGCAACCAACATAAAAATAATACTTTAATTATCACCTCCTGAGTCCGCACAGCTATGTAAAAATTGACGAGTTGTATGTTAGCGCTAGAAAAAAAGAATGAATAATAAAGAATTGAAAGAGGAAGTGTGAGGTTTCCAAAGCCCTGGAAATATTGCAGAACTAAGAGAAAAACATAAGAGAATGGAAAAGAAAGGAATTTGGATTTCCCCCTAATACAGATAGTACTTGCTTAATGACTACTTGTTCAGGAGCCATTCAAAGTTACAACGGCACCAAACAAGAGACTTATGGCCTGTCTTCATAGTTGCAATTGTGATTGTGATTTGGGTACTTGGCAACTGGCTCACAATCACGACAGTCACAGGACCCCATGTACCATGAAAGCCATATGTGGCCTTCACTGCCAGCTTCCAACAAGCAATGGGGAAGGTGGCAGGAGGTCTCAAATAACGATCACGTGACATCACATTTAATGACCGTATGGGATTCGCTAAATGACAGCAACCAGAACTACTTCAACTGCTGTCATAAATCAGCACAGTCATATTACATCGTGCTATATGAGCATATCATTTAGTGATGGAGTTGTCAGTCTTAATTACCGTCATTAAGTGAGGACTACCTATACCAGGGGTAGGCAACCTTGGCTCTTTTATGTCTTGTGGACTTCAACTCCCAGAACTCCTGAGCCAGCCATGCTGAGGGGGAAGGGAGAGGTTTCCTAGCTGAGCCATGCTGGCTCAGGAATTCTGGGAGTTGAAGTCCACGAGTCATAAAAGAGCCAAGGTTGCCTACTCCTGAGCTATACCTATAGGCTAACTATCTATACCTATATGGAGTTACCAGACTTAATTATCGTCATTAAGTGGGGACTACCTATACTTCTGGGTCTTTGCACCTCTAGGCTGAAAGGGTTCTGAAATATACAGTGGAGTGGTGTTACCTCCTCTGGCTGGATATGACTTTTAGAACATCTATTCATCATCCCGCACTTCTAAGAGGGGAAGGGAGCTGAAAACAGAAGTCCCACTGCTTTGGAATAAGTCTTCTACTGAAGATCAGGCTAGATCCCTCTTTGTTGATTTCTGAGTTGAGGCTCTCTGCAATCCTTTATTCCTTTTTATTCTCTTTTTTTTTCTGAAATTTTATTTTGGTTCTACTGAGTCTTTCGGTTGGGAGTTTAGGACTGTCATTTTATTACTATTTTTAATTCTGCAAATGTTTTAATTTGTTGCTGTACTATACATCATGTAAGCTGATAAGAGTTATTGGATTGCGGGGGGGGGGGTTTAGACAGAAATAAATAAGCAAGCAAACACAGAATCATTTTTACCACAGCGTCCCTACTGAAAGATACAAAACTCTCTGCAATATATAAATAAACCATTTTTTAAAAAATCAATAAAGCTTTTCTGAAATTAAGTCTCTGCAGAATAATCTGCAAAGGAAAGCCGTGCTTTACCAAAAAAGCTTCTGATTGTGGCTATGAAGAGGTTTGGGGGTGGTGGGGGTGGAAATAATTGTCTGAGAACTAGGGATATCAACTGTACATCCCCCCCCCCACTGCCCAGGCTAGACTAAAATAAGCAGACCTTCCCTTTCCTATATTCCCTGTGTAGCATTTTGTTTGCAGAATTCTGACATGAATTTCATTTGGGTGTTCTTACATTTTCCTCTTTTTTTTCTTTCCTTCCTGCCTTGCCTCTAACTTCTCAGCACTGGAAAGCTCTGTTTGATCAGGTAGGTGAACAACTTGGAAATGTTTGTTTTAACACCTGTGAACAAGGGAGATCAAATGCATCTTTCCCTCAGGGTGGGGGATTCCTGAGTATCCAGTGATGTATGACCTTTTGTGTGGTTGGTTCACAACACCAACTAGATGGGTTTATTGTATGTCCTGGGTTCTTCCTTTATTCTCTGTTTTGTTGTGTTTTTGTGTGTCCCTTTAATGTTTCCTTTTGTTGACTGAGATTTTCCTCCAGAGCGATGACCTTAAGAAGCAAGGAGCTGAATGTGTTCAAGTTTGTTTTTGTCTTTGTGTAGAATTCTTATTTGGTAGAACTCATAGAAGGAAAGCTAAATTCATCCTCCAGGGGTCAGTTTCTTTCATAGGGCATACTGATACTGAATTAAACTTGACATTATTTAAGAATTGTTACAAAATGAAGCCAAGAATATGGGCTGGTAAAATTTCCATGTTTGAAGTTCCAGTAATACATGGAGCAGATCAATATTAAGTACTCTGATTTAACCAGGCAGACCACCTGATCACTGAGTTCACTCAATACAGGCTTAAGTGTTCAGGTACCTCATGCCTAAATATTTCATAGCAGTATGTAAATACTTTAAACCTTATTATCCCATAGTGTGCAGCTGACTGAGGGACAGTTAAGGTCAGTCTGCACATGGAGAAATGGAAACACCATCACAGGGATATTATGGTTCCACACAAGACAAGAACCCCATGATGACAAGCCATGATTGTTTCATAAGCGAGTGGAGTTTGTGACCTGTTCAGAAAGCGGAGTTCTGAAATGAAGAAGTCAGTCAGAGTCTGGGGATTTGGCAGCCTCTAGGATACCATTTTGAGATGGATTGAGGTGGTTCGGGCCTTTTAGCTCCAATAATAACCAGCATGTTTACAACATGGTGTCATAACAAATTTGGTAAGGGTGCTTATTAACATATTAATAGCCCTTAAATGTATTTTTGCTGGTTAACTGCAGCAGAGGATCTTGAAACCTGAGTTTGAAAAGGGAACACACTACAGTCTATTATTTCTCAGGAATATCTAATGCAACAAGATTTCCACTGTGCACAGGTAAGCTACAAGTTGGCCTTTAGAATGGATGAGACAAGGTCTTCTGCTGTGTTTAAGCAACCATCCAGTGCCTTTGTATATTGTATATTCCTTGTTTGCATTTATAGATTGGGTAGTGCTTACAGTATGCTATGTTTTTACCATGGAGTTGAGACCCCCCTTTCTAACTAGTAACACGAGGCATATGGTGCTTATGACTCTTTTAACACTGACATGTAAAGATACCCATGTGGGAAAAAAAAGTAGTATTCAAGGTACAATTTCTCTCAAGACCCATAGAAGCATCTCAATAAATATTTAGAAGGAATATACGAAGCATATGGATTCTTATGCAAAGTTTAACCAGAGACTCACTTGTAGCTAAAGGAATTAGTATTTCTTTCTGCCAGTGAGCTGTTGTTACCTTATTGCTGAAAGGCAGTATCCATATAGATTTTGAGGCAATTTACTAATATGGTTCCTGCAAGTGGCTGAACCCAGCAGCTCCAACTGAAGCAGGCTGACCAGGCCTAGAGATGGCTTATTATCCTTAGGTAATCTTGCTGCCAGTGGTGATGAGTGTCTGTTTATAACCTGGTAAGCTCAGTTCTATATTTAGCCCATAAATCTGGTCTGAGCAATATTCTTCGTGGTGTGCCTTGCATATCTGGTGAGGACAATGGGAGGATCAGGCAGTCACATTATAGAATGGCCTCCGACCTGTCAGGGTGGGATGAATTATTCCTATTTTTATCATATACAGGCATTCTTACAGGAAACCTAGGACAGGTAGGGAACCTTGGCTCTTTTATGACTCGTGGACTTCAACTCCCAGAATTCCTGAGCCAGCCAGAAGCAAAGAATCTTGTTCCCTTGTGACAGTGGTGGCGAACCTATGGCACGTGTGCCAGAGGCGGCACTCAAAGTCCTCTTTGTGGGCACGCGCGCCATGCCCCGGAGATGGCAACCATCCCTCTTCAACCAGCCACCCACTAACTCACCAAGGTCCCACATGGCCGGAAGCATCCCAGCACGGCTGGTTTCCCTCCCCCCCTCGTCCCATCCCTCCTGGACTCACATACTCTCCTTTTCCCGGGCACGACTCACTGCATTGCCTCCTCAGTTGTTGGCTGGCCGTCCAGCTCAGAGGCGGCTTCTCTGAACTGCTGGTGGTGGGCTGTGGAGCCCCAGAGTGCGCTGGTCGAGGAGCCGGCAGGCTGTGGCTACTGACCGACGTTGTTGGCCCCCATGCGCTCACTGGCCTCTGTGTGGGGGCCGATGGTGTCAGGCAGCAGCCGCCCTGGCCCTGCCTCGCCTTGCCCTGTGACAATGGCACGCCCGCCCTGCCTCGCCTCATCCCACAGAACAAGCCTCCTGCCCACTGCGCTACCTGCCAGAGATCCCCTGGATCTCCCCCAACTGTGCCCAGCCCCCACAGGTGTCCCTCTCCACGAACAACATCAAGGTGACCACGCCTACCTTGGCCACACCCACCCCATCTGCCATGACCACCACAGCCATGCCCACCTGGCACCCAGCGATACATAGGCGGGTTTTGGGTTGCAGTTTGGGCACTCAGTCTCTAAAAGGTTTACCACCACTGCCTTATGAACTAACTGTTTACAACAGAGGTGGGGAACGATGGCCCTTTTATGAACTGTGGACTCCAACTCCCATGCTGGCTCAGGAATTCTGGGAGCTGAAGTCCACGAGTCATAAAAGCCAAGGTTACCGACCCCTGACCTAGGAAAATACCTTTTATCTGCTCATAAACCAGAGGGGGGGGGGAATGATATGACTTGTGGACCTCAGCTCTCAGAATTCCTGAGCCAGCCATGGGAGTTGGAGTCCATAAGTCATAAAAGGGCCATCGTTCCCCACCTCTGTTGTAAACAGTTAGTTCATAAAGGAAGGAGATTCTTTCCTTCTCTTTGCTCCTCTCCGGATAAGGGTGGCTGTGGCTTCTTCTTTTGACTTTTGTTTAAAGAGCTCTATCAAAGAATACCTGCTTTTTGTGAAGAAGTCCCCAAGTCTGGCCACTGGTCTCCTGAGACAGGCTGGGGATGGCCTCTGTCTAAAATCCCAAGGAACCATTGCCTGATGTAATAAATCAAGTTGGCCATGTGGACAAAGTTTCTGCTCATAGCAGCACCTTGTAGAATATGGGGTGGGTTTTGGGGGGGGGGTAAAAAGTAAGCAGGGTTGGATCTGGTAAATATTCGGTCCCAGGAAATCTTAGAGTAGACTAGATTGAAAGAAGGAAGAAAACTATGTAGATGTGACAGTAGGAGTTGAGAGCCACTTGAAAGAAACTTTAAAATTCAATTTTAAGTGGACAAATAGTCTGGTTGGGCAAATGTGACTTCTGACAACCCAGTGAAACCTCTTTCTCTGTCCAAAAGTAACGCCTGCATGTTTCCTTTCCCCACCATTGGTGTTTCACCATTATAAAGAGAAGTGATGTTTCATTTATGGTCAAAGCCATTTCAGTTAGAAAGAGAGTGAACCATTAATCTGGACTATCTAGCTAGCATGCTAACCCCTAATGTGGCTGTTTTGTTTGTCACTGGCTAAAACATTGGAATGGGAGACTGATCTTGCTTGCTGCCGAACAATCTGGACATTCCCTACATTAAAATCTCTTTCTCAAGTTGATCTTGATGTTAGGATAGAATCCAGGCCCGCCATTCCAGCTGTCTGCCTTTTGCAACTTTGCTATTGGGAACATTTGGAAAATATTGAGGTTCTTATTCACCCAAAGTGGGCAGGAGGATGAGCAAAAAAATAGAAGAAATAACATTGTGTTGCCAAATGAGAGACTAATACGAATGAGCCGCTAACCTCATCTTAGGAACTATAAAGACTTGGTTAGAATGGGCAAGAAGTTAATTGAAGTCTCAAAACAATTAGCTCCCTTGAGACAGGGTCCATGCTAAAATTTAATCTGTCTCTGGGGCATAATTAAGATAGCACATCTTATGAAAATTGAATTTGTACAAAATTGTATTGCCTATGGGCAGACATAGTTCCAGATTCTAGAAGTCAAATCTGAAAACCTACTAGAATTCATTTGCATAGCAAAATGCTTCTTTGTTTTAATTAAACATCTACTCTTCCATCTGCAAGCAGATTTTAATATGCCTTTATTCATTCCATTGGTATGACACTACCATAGTTTCGTGCCAACCAGGTGTGGCCACATATGTTACTTCAATTATTATCTTTACACAGCCTTGTGAGATTGGTTAGTTAAAATGTGACTAATGGTTGCCTAGTAAGTTGAACCTAATGTTAAACTGGGCAATATTAACTGGGCAATTCTATCCATTGTTCCTGGGGTCAAGTAGAGGGAGCCAAGGAGGTAGAACTGGAAATAAGCCATGGGATTCAAACATTTAAAGAAATCACAATCAGCACAATTGTTCAGCAAAGGAACTGCCTGGAGAGGAAATCCTTTTCATTAAGAAGGGTCTGTTGGCAATTGGAGAAGAATTGCTGAAGAGGTTACTCCATCCAGAGCTAGTAGCTCATCTCATCTTGTCTCATCTCATTGTGCAGATATTTCAGAGCTGAAGGGTGCTTCTTCTTACTTCCATTATGTCCCACCACCCACTGTCACAAAATAAATGTTTGCAACAGCATGGTGAAAATCTCCATTTCTGTACAATATGCTGACATACATGAAAAGCTTATTATTGTAGGAGAAGGACCTGGGGGTTGGAGTTAAAAGAGGGATCAGCCTAGAATCCCTACATAGCCACAAGTGGACTAAGTCCAACTCCCCCTTGAATTCTGTTGACATTTATTTAACTCCAAGCAGATGCTAACTGTTAGTTGAGAAGATTCCTGTCCATGATTAGCAATAGTTTAATTGAACCTTCATGTGTATTTCTCACTTGAAAGCTATATAGTAATAGTGAAAGCTACTTGATCACAATAT